ACAATATCCCATATTAAACGCCAAGCTGACTACATATATTTTTGATGCATTATCAAACACCAAAGACTTCTGAGTGCACAGTACATTCCACCACCTTAAATTTTGCATTGCTTGTCTTATTAGCTCTTTTGCTAAACAAAATCATTCAAAATTATTCAAGCATATTTGTGAAGAAAAAAGCATCTGTAAAAAAAAAAGAATGGAAGAACCTAGTTATCTAAGCATATTTGTGAAGAAAAAAGCATCTGATTTTGCTAAACAAATTTATTCAATCCACATATAAATTGTTTCATGCATAATATTTCTATTGCCTTTTAAAAAAAGAATGTAAACATGTTTATCTAGCTTGCTTTCTTGCAAGCATCAACTAATCCTACAATAACACCAAATGATCAGCAACAAATGTCTTAATTAATCTCCTAAAGACTCCAACAACAGCATTCAGGCTATGAATTTTAAATCAAGGCATTGCCTCTATAAAACATAATGCTAATCTCTAAAATAGGTTAGAAACACAATCTATAATAACAACAATCTCATTAAGTAAATTAGGTTAAGGAAACACAATCAAAGGAGAAGTATTTTGGTGGAACTATTATCGCGTTTATAAAAACAAATCCAAAATTCAAAATCAATAGTCATTTTTAGGTATTGAAATGCTCAAATGCCATCGCAATCTCATAAAAGTTGATAATGCCTCTCACCTCAAGTGATACTGCTTCTTGAACTAGATGAGACACCGGTGGGGGAGAAGAAGACGATGGAAGCGGAGAAGATGATGCTTGCTGAAGAGAATGTCATAGTCGCATGAGACAAATAGTTGAATAGGATTTTTGCAAAATCGGTCAGACCAATCTGATTTTAAATGCCTTGCTCTAGGTACAGAACTTTTAATCTTTAAGAAAGTAATAAATTTTTGCATTGTCTATCTAGTAACTAAGATGCCAAAAGAATTGCAATATGTGAATTTAATAATATATATATTAAATCTATTGATAATATAATGGACTCACTCACTACCTATGAGCAAAGTGTGAGTCAAAGACATTTAGACGTTGATGACAAAAAGAAGGAGAATGTTGTGGCATTGAAATCCAATAATTCAGAAAGTGATAGCTCTACAAGTGATGTGGATGATGATAAGGGATTGATAATCTGACAGTTCAAGAGCTTTCTAAAGAGAAAGGAAAGACATCATCAATACTGGAATAATGGTAAAATTTATAAAAATATAAAGAGTTTCTCTAATGTTATTTATTTTGAATGCAAGAAATAGGGTCACTTAAAGTCAAATTTCCCCAACCTAAAAGCTCAACAATTCAAGGAGAAGTGTGAGGAGAAGACTAAAGTAAAAAAAAGGGGAAGCAAAGGACATAGAAGGCATTTTGGGTATACTCCACTTAGGACTCATTAGAGCTATATATTTAGGAGGAGGTAACAAATCTATGCGATAGGAGAAATAATGGTCTTCAACACTCTAATAAAGATGAGGTATGTGAGCTTTAATTTGATGAATTACTTGACATTTCTAAAAAATCCATGAAGGATAAAGAAAGCTATAAAAATGCATGCTAGTTTTAATTTTAAGTTTTCTTAATTATGAAAAGAGCATGAAAGTTAGGATTGATCATTCTAGTTTAGATAAAGAAAAAGATTTCTTACTTAATGAAATTAATGATTTAAATAAGAAGCATATTGAATTAACCAAATTACATGAATCCTAGAAATTCAATCAACTTTAATTAGAAGAAGCATACAAAGAACTATATAAACTTGCAACTATAATTTATTATAACAAGCATGCATTGAAATGTGTAGTTAAAATTTTTGAAAGTGCTAATGTGTTCCAGAGATTAAAAGTTCTTACACTTCAAAAAAATAGACCACCGCCTAAACTAACACAATGGTATAACCCCATATCACTGCATGCATCATAAACCTTAGGATGAGGCATAACACCCTTAGTAGATTATTTAATCATTTCCCGCGGGTAGGTGTTACTCTTATGACATGTTAGACCACATAACCCACACTAAAACCATACACTATATAACACATTTAATGTGGAAGAAAATATCATTTTTATCATAGTATAGCATGCATATAATTCATTCATTAAAGCATAAGGTAGAACCCAAACTCACTTGGGTTCCCAAAATTAATCCTTGATTGAATTAATAAGGGTGTATTCATAAAAGCCTATTAAGAGCATGTGGTACCTATGTGGTGGATGCTCATGACACACAATGGAAGATATGAAGTAATTCAGCATATTGGAGGCTAGGGGAGGAGGCAAGACAACATTAGAAGACAACACTAATAGGAATGTGGTGGTCTTAGCCATAATTGGCAACTCAAATAATTTTATTATTAAAATTGTCTTGTTAGTAGATAGATTAAAGCATAACCTTCTTAGTTTTAGCCAATTGTGTGATAATGGTATTGATATTAAATTTCTATCTACTAAGTGTCTAATAATCTTAAATGAAAAAATCATTTTAGAAGGAATAAAAGTTAAACAGTTTTACATGCTGAATTTTAATTGTATTGACTATTCAAACTCTTTATGATTAAATTATGTTGTTGATGAGCCCAGGCTATGGCATATGTGACTATGTCATGTAAGCATAACAACTTTTAGGAAGATCACCCAGAAAGTCCTAATTAGAGGCAAACCAAAACAAGATATTTCTAATGACCACCATTGTGATGCCTGCAAATTAAGAAAATAAATCAAAATTTTGTTTCATTCAATTAAGGAAATGATCACTTTTAGACCACTAGACATTATTCACATGTACTTGTTTGGACTTATTAGTATAGCCAGCATAGGTGAGAAGACAACTAGATATGTGATTGTAGATGAATTTTTCTAGATTTTCCTGAGTTAGATTCACTACATATAAAAGTGAATCATTTAAGAAATTTAGAAATTTATCCACATGGATATAGAGGAAATTAAGATGAGAAATATTGACTATCCATAGTGATCATGGTGGAGAATTCAAAATTGATATATTTGAATCATTTTATAAGGAACATAGTGTAAAAAAAAATTTATACCCCTAGAACCCCTCAATAAGATAGAGTCATTGAAAGAAAGAATAGAGCCCTAGTAAAATTTGCTAGAGATATATTAGCAGAATATTTACTTGCTATATATTTTTTGGGAGAAGTAGTTAACACTATTTGTTATGTTCTAAATTGGGTAAAATCTTAAAGTTAAACTTAATCAGACATCTTATGAGCTACTTAAGATAGAACACCCAATCTTTATCACCCTTATATCTTTGGATATAAATGTTTCATTTTGATATATAGAAAATCTCCACTAGCAAAATTTGATCCTAAGTTTGATGAAGGACTTTTCCTAGACTATTCTTCTATAGGTAAGGCCTATAGAGCTTTCAATAAGAGGACCTTAGCGGTAAACAATACAGCAAAAAAGCCAAAAACCGGCAGTTTTTTCCGGCGGTTACTATGGCTAAACCGGCGGTTATCCTGTTTACCGGCGGCTTTGCGGCGGTATTCAAGCCGCCGGTAAAAATGGCGTAGGAAACTAATAATGGCGGTCTATTACCAGCGGTTTATTTATGCGGCGGTTTTCCAGCGGGTTATACAGCCGGTGACAACAGGATTTTTAACCGGTGGTTTTTCGGCCGTCACGCCGCCGATTAGTTGACCGACGGCAAACCGGCGGTCATATTACCGACGGTCGCCCGGCAGTTAAAGCGGGCGTCGTGTATTCGCTAAACCGCCGGCAAGCGCCGATAGACCACCGGTTAAATTACTGGCGGTACCCGGCGGTTGAATCCGTCGGTATTACCGACGGTGTACACCACCGGACGTCCATGGTAACACCGCCGGCGACCGTCGGTAACCGTTGGTTAAATACTGTCTGTGTAATGACATTACCGGCGGTTTAGTATTGTCCGTCCGATATCGTAGTTTCCAGCGGCCAAACCGCCGGTAAGCCGCCGAAAACCTATAGCACCTGCAAAAAAAAATTGACAGCATTCCCTCTATTTGAGGGAGGTTCACCCTAAAGTCTAAACCTGCAGAAAAAGTAATAAATTTTGGGAAACACGCCACTATATTCATCAGAACCATAAATTCTAAATACAATCACAAGTTTCAAGCTCACAAGATTACAATCATCAAACATAAAGGTTACAATCACAAGTTCACAAGTTTGTTCATCATAAGGTTACAATCACAAGTTCACAAGATCTAAATACAATCATCAAACATAAAAAATATCTAATCCTCAGCTGTATCCTCACTGTCTGCAGATGGCTGCTCCTCTTGCTCCTTCCTATGATTTTCATCTCTGTAGGAATGCAACTCTGCTTGCATTTCATTCTGAACCCTTCTCATCTCTTCAATCTCTCTAGTCAGTGCTGCAACCCTCGCTTACAGATTCTTCAGCTCCACTTGGATCATGAAATGCAGAGGTGGATGAACTTCCCTCAATAGCAAAAGCCTGTGAACCCATGCCATATACCCTTCCACTCTGTCTTCCACCAACAAATTCTGACCATGTATGATACTCAGAAATGTGGGTTGATTCTGAAGTTGATCCCTCGTCAGTGGACTGCCGACTTTCTCTAGCTCGTACAAAATCACCCTGCGAGTTACAATTACTTTTCTTAAAATAAATTTTTATTCTAAAACTCTAAAAAATATTACTCACATGAGCCTTCTTAGACTTCTCATCAACCCACTGATGGTCAGCTTGATGTTGATAAGTTCTTGTATGCAACTCCAGTGGTGTTGGCACCCGACCAAGGGACTGTTTCTGAAAATTTAAGAAATAGTTATAATAACATAAATATATGTAATAAACTAATTCAAAACACTTACCAGGCGACGCCTATGTTCCGTATGAGGTACAGATCCACCAATATGAAGAGAGCTTCCTAAACCGCCACAATCAGAGGGTCTATTCTGTTTATTCTGCTCTCTCATTTTTATAAACTCAGGGGTAACTTAAATTGAACTTACTTATCGCCGTCAGGCTCGATGTATTGACGCTTATCTGTTGCTGTTGCAGGATCGGTAGCGCCAACCTCTGGTGGTCGTGATGGTCCACCCTGTTCATGCTGCACCGGATAGGGGTAGTAATATGGGTAAGGGTAAGGAGGGTGAGGACCAGTGGATGGACCAGCAGCCTGTGATGATGGTGGGGGGTAATATGGATAGAATGGAGAAGCATGTGTCTGATCTGGAGAGGGGAAGCGAGGACTCGTCGAGCTGGGAGGGAAGTGGCCAGGGAAGTATGGAGGTGCAACAAGAGGTGGATCTAACTGTCCCTGACCCTGCTCTGGTGAAGGCTGCTGGCTCCTGGCAGGTGGTGGCGGTGGTGGTGTAGGTAGATCTGGTGCAACTGAAGGCCCCTCACCTACCTCAGTCTGTGTGGGTACTCTGCTAGTCGTAATCTTCTTCCGGCGGAACTTTGAGGCAAATGATTTACGAGGAGGATCGTCGCCTGAAGCCATCTGCAATATTAAAACAAAAATAATTAAGAAACAGTTAATAAAACAGTTAATAAAGCAGTTAATAAAGCAGTTAATGAAGCAGTTAATGAAGCAGTTAATGAAGCAGGTAATGAATTACGAGAAGCAGTTAATAAAGCAGTTAATGAAGCAGTTAATAAAAGACAAGGTGGCAAATACAATATCATTTCTAAGCAGTAATAAAAATTACAAAACATTTAAATTCTACAATTCTAAATTACAGAAACTAATCAGAATCATCAAAACTATTTTCATCACTCTCAAGAGTATCTTCACTTTCATCCTGGTTCTCTTCTTCTTCTGAACTAGTTGAACTATTGACATCTTCTAACTCCATTTCAATAGTAGAGGTTGTAGTTGGCATATCCTCAATTTCAACAGGCATATAACTTGACATCTCATCCTCTTGATGTGCAGTTGCTACAATGTATTGTTGATCAATTATTCCCCGTGCTTTTGTTTTTATGACAGCTAGCCAATCTTGTTTGTCTCTGCGACCACTGGGATATTTGCTGAAATAAACTTGAATAGCTTGGCTTGCTAACACAAATGGATCAAACTTTCCGTATCTTCTACTATGTTTAACATCTACTAAACCATACACAGGATGAACCCTTGTGCCTCTATTTTGTACTGGATCATACCACTGACAGTTAAATAAGCATACAAAGTTCTCATCTTCGCCTGGGTACTCCAAGTCAAGGACCTCATTCAAAATACCATAATAATCACACTCATCTTCTTCATGAGTGTTTCCTCTAACACATACTCCACAATTTTCAGTTTTTCTTCCTTCACTCCACGATTTGGTATGAAATCTGAACCCATTCACTATATATATTGGCCAAGTTTTTACTTTTCGCATTGGACCCCATGCTAATGCTTGCAAACCTTTATCGAAACATTTGTTATCAGGATTTTGTACCTAAAAATATTTTCAAATTTTAGTATTTTTGATAATAAATAAGATTTAAATTTATAAAAAAAAATGTACTCACATATGATCTGAACCAAGTTGGAAATTCATTTGCAACAGCTTGCTCAATATCCCTTGAATCTGTCAAAGGCAAATTGCTTACGAAATACCTGGTGACAAAATAATACTTTAGTATTTTAAATAAACATTACTAATTAATTATTAACATTATGTAAGAACTTACTCTAAGATTGGCTCAACTTCTTCACAGTTCAGTAGTACATACAAATTCGCTGTATTTATTTCTAAATTGTTGAGATATCTTTCAACACATTTGCTACTAGGCTTTCCTTGCCTTCTAAATACTGATAGTGTAGCATGTGATTGTTCTTCTACATCGAAGTCCATGTTACGACTAATTTTTGTTCTTGTACTCCTTACATGGGGCTCGAAATAGTAGAAGTAAAAGTGAGTTATTTCTTGAGACAAATATGCTTCACATATTGATCATTCTGGTCGTGCTTTATTCTTAACATATTTCTTCAACTTGTTCAAATATCTATTAAACAATTACAATCATCGTGAAGTTAATAAAAATATGTTATCTCAACTGATTCAAAAATATTGAAGACTTAATAAAAATCTGAACAAATTTACCTTTCAAAAGAATACATCCAACGATACTGTACAGGTCCACCAACTCTAGCTTCGTAAGGTAGATGGACTGGAAGATGTTCCATAGAATCAAAAAAACCTGGGAGGGAAATATCTTCTCTAACTTACAGAGGATGATTGGTATGTTATCCTCGTACCTCCGTAAAGCAATTTCACTTAGTTTAGATGAACATAAATCTTTGAAGAAAATGCTAAGCTCAGTCAACAAATTTGATATGTAATCGGGTAACATACAGACTATGATCGGAAAAAGAACCTCCATAATTATGTGACAATCATGACTTTTGAGTCTAAATAACCTTGTAGATTTCAAGTCAACACATCGGCTTATATTTGATCCATAGCCATCAGGCATCTTTAAACCTTTAAACCACTGACATATCAATCTTTTTTGCTCTAACGTGAAAGAGTACGGAGCTTTGGGCTTTATTAGTTTACCGTCAGTTGTTGTTACTAACTCCAGATTTTTTTGCCGACAAAACTCTTTAATGTCCATCCTTGCTTTGACATTTTCTTTACTCTTACCTTTAACATCCATAATTGTTTTAAAAATATTATCCAAGAAGTTCTTCTCAATGTGCATAACATCCAAGTTATGTCTTATCAAATTAGTTCTCCAATAAGGTAATGTCCAGAAAATACTTTTTTGTCCAATTATGTTGAACACCATAACCCGTTAAAGCCTGCGGTTAAACCGCCGGTAACACCGGCGGTCCATAAACCGCCGGTTAGAACCGCCGGTAATAGGCAATTTTCCTGTAGTGAAAGGAGACCACCCATGTAATATTTGATGAATCTGATAAATCTAGGGAACCTAAGTTAGAAAAAGAAAAGAATATAGAGGTCACCCAAGGACTAAAATATATTGAACTAGGAAATAGAGAAAAACCTCATGAACCCTTCCAAAGAGATTAGTGATATGCTTCTAGTCATCCTAAAGAACTCATCTTATGAGGTCCCTCTATAAGGGTTAGGACTAGGCACAAACTTAGAAAGGAGGTTAGTCATTCTTCTTTCATCTCAATAATAAAACTCACTAGTGTAGATCGTGCCGTATCTAATGAATTCATGAACCTAGCTATGCAAGAAGAATAAATAATGTTTGGGAATTGGTTAATAGACACAAGGACCATAGTGTCGTAGGAGACAAATTGGTTTTCAAGAATAAGATGAATGACTATGGAGTAGATAGCTAAAGACAGATTAGACCCCTTAAGATAGCTAAAGCTAGATTAGACCCCTTAAGATAGCTAAAGCCAGATTAGTAACTAAGGAGTCACATCAGACCTTTCACCCTATAACTAGGTTAGAAGCTACTAGAATATTATTATCCTTTACTTACTTTAGAGGCTTTAAGCTGTGTAAAATGGATATAAAGTGTGTCTTTTTGAATGGGGTGATTAAGGAAGATGTCTATATGGAGTAACCCCCTTGATTTTAAAATTCAACCTTTCATAATAATGTATATAAATTGAAAAAAAATATAATATATGGATTGAATCAAGCACCTAAGGAATGGTATGAAGGGATTATCACTTTTTTTCTAAGGAAGATGCTTTGTTAAGAGTAGTGTAGATACCACCCAAATAATAAAGAAAGTAGGAGATGATCTATTTATCATTCAAATATATGTAAATGACATGCTATTTGGATCAACAAATAAAAATGTTTATAATGATTTTTTTGGAACTTTAAGTAAATAATTTAAAATGAGTATGATAGGAGAGATATTTTAATACCTTAGTTTTAGTGTAAAATAATTGATGACGGAACTTTTCTAATCCAAAGTAAATATATCAAGGATATTCTTAAAAAATATGAGATAAAAAAAGTTGAAGAAATTAATACACCCATGAGCTCTATCATTTAATTAGACAATGATGGAAGTGGAAAAACAATAGATCAAAAGAAGCATAGGGGTAAAATTTGATCACTTTTGTATTTAACTATTAGCAGATCTAACATTATCTTTAGTGTTTATATTTATGTAAGATTTCAAGTAGATTCTAAAGGAATCCATATAAAAGCTTTTAAGAGAATCATTAGATACCTTGTAGGCACTTAAAATTTAGGTATATGATACCCTAGACATCACTCCTCATTTCAAATCATAGAATATTTAGACTCAAACTTTTCAGGATGTTGGATTGATAGAAAAGAACCTCTAGAACTTGTCAGTTCATAAGTCAATCCTTGGTTTCGTGATCTAGTAAAAAGCAAAACTTGGTAGCTCAATCCATCGCTAAGAAAGAATATATTATTGTAGGAGGTCATGTTGCTCAAGTTTTATGTCTAAAGAAATAAATACTTAACCTTGAACTCACTGTTGGCACTATTCAAATTATAATGTTAGTTCCATATGCATTTCTAAGAATCCTATCCAACACTCTTTTACTAAGCATATAAACAATAGGCACCAATTCATTATAGACCATATTTCTAAAGGACATTAAGTTGCATCATGTAATAACTAATGATCAACTTGGAGACATCTTCACGAAACACTAAAGCTATGACATCTTTAGCACATTAAGGACTAGATTGGGCTTCATTAACATTCATGCTTAATTCAAGATAAGATGAAATCAACAGCTTCAACTTTTATGTATTTTACGTGTTTCTATATTCTAAATTCTTATTTATGTTTGTTATTTGTTTAGTGTTATTTTCTAAGTAGTATTTATTCCCGAATCATCACACCACATAAAAAAAATGATTCACAACTTATAGTATGAACCTCATTTGTATTGTATAGTCTACACAACTCAGTAAATCCTCACCATTTGTGATTTCACCAGTTCAAATTTTACAAATCATTCATGATTATACTTTACAACCCACCTCTTCATGCTATATGATTAATGTGTTAGTAACTATTGAATGAATTAAGTCATTTGAAATGAGAATCCAAATATCATCATATTGTATGAATACATATTTGTACTATACAAACCTTTTAGTCAAAGGTCATACCGTTGATTCCTATGGACAATCATTTTTAACAATGATCATCCAGTATGATCCTAATCGTAATATATGATTTGACCACTTTTTCTAATAGATCATCCAGAGGAATTGAATTCTTTTGATAGTCCAATATTAACCCCAATTATATTATACAATCTACTAAAATTCTAAAAGGAGGGATTTCTATGGTTTCATTCACTCCATCCTTCTATTCCTCTTCTTTTTTATACTCAGTACCTTTAATCTTCTTAATGGCCAGTGGAAACCAAGCTTGTCAACAAATTTAAGGCATTTTCTCTCATCATCTTGTTGATGAATGCTTCTAAACAGTTGAGGATGAAGTTACCTATCATAGATTTTGAAAAGCCTAGATTACACCATCTCGCAATGGATCTCTTCACCACTTGCACTCTTCAATTCCTTCTTACCCTGTCCTTCCCCATTAATTTAAAACTTATTTATAAATTCTTTTAAAGTGTAAGAGTGTCTTGAAACTTATATATGATGACCTCATACATGTGTAGATGACCCGTAGAAATCACCAAATAAGACTTAGCATAATATTTATACCTATCCACTAAAGGGGTTTAATCCCATATCCCATCATCT